TTCTTCTTCTTCTTCTTCTTCTTCTTCTTCTTCTTCTTCTTCTTCTTCTTCTTCTTCTTCTTCTTCTTCTTCTTCTTCTTCTTCTTTTTACATCTTTAAATAGGCTGCATAAGGAATGGAACATTGATACAAAAAAAAAAGTTATCTGGGACGGCTCAACACAAACATGATAGACAGAGACAATGAACCCATATGCCCATGGTGAGTTTTGACAGTGGCTGACTCCTGGCGAGGCTTGTGTGTCCAGCGTCCTCCCCATCCTTCCCTCCCGTGGTGTCTGGGGAGCAGAGCTGCAGGAAGGTTTTGGTAGCTACACCAGCCACACGTGCACAGTATCCTGACTCTGTGTGTTCTGTTTCAGATCATCGCCTTTGACGAGTTAAGGACGGATTTTAAGAGTCCCATAGACCAGTGCAACCCCGTTCATGCGGTAAGTAGTGGAGCTGGGGGGGGTGTGGGTGATGTCCCCACAAGTTGCATGGCTTGTGAGGGACAGTGGGGGGGGGGGTTAAAGAGCAGAATGAAGAAGAACATTCTGTCCTGGTCCTGCCTCTGCTCCTTGCTAACAGGTGTTCCATAGCCTTCCTGCTGAGGTCGGCTGAGCTCTTGGAATAGATTGCCGGTCGAGTGTGGTAGTTCCTGTGGCCTAGAGGATGGGTCTCCCGCGATATGGTGCTGAGTCCTCAAAACCTGGTGCCAGTGGGTTTTGGCTCCTTATCTCTGACCGTAGACAAATGCCCTGTGTTGGCCAGCATGTCCGCACTGTGTATAGGTACCGCGTATGGACCTCTTGCTCTGTAGAAGGTGGTCGATGGTTGGGTTTCTCATGGAGGGTAGACGGATGGATCAAGTGTGAGGGATAGCCCTGTTGTCTGGTGGGCTTTCGTCTCTGGAGCTGGCGGCTTGGGGTCTGCTTGTTGCACATCAGGGACATTTGTGTGATTCTGGTTGATAAGCTCTGGGTTCGGCTTCTGGATGTCAGGTCTGGAGCCCAGCTCTGCCCGTCTCCTAAGCCCATCTTCTGACTACCAGCTCACGTTGGTTCTTGAAAAGACTTGCTTTATGACATCTAAGCCCCCCATTTGGCACAGCAGTCTTTGATTCTAGAAAGTAAAGCCAAAGTTTTACTTTCAAAGTTGGCTATAAAAAGCAAACCGGGTTAGTTGGAAGTACCCCTAAGAGCCGCTTGAAAGCTTAGTGTGTTTCATAAAAGTTGTGATTTTTAAAACCCGCTTTATTCTCCTCCACCAGCCTCACTACCCACCTGTAATAACTTGGCTCTGCCAGGCCTGAATGGTTTTGCCAAGGGGCTTGTGTCTTTCTGGACACTGAGTTTGGCACCGACAGCACACACCTGCTCATCAGTACCCATAGGTGCCCAGGGTGGCTCCGAAGCCAAGTGTGTTCACTTCTGAATGCCAGGAAGCCAGGAGCCTGAACTCCCTTCTCCAGCTTATCTAGAGATTTCTGGTAGGATTCCCAAGCAGACAGAATGAGTGGGGAAATTTATCCAACCCCGTTTCCATCATGCCAGTTCCATGCCAGGTCTTAAGCACCTGGTGAAACCTGGAGATGCTTTTGTGGAGCCTGGAGCTTATCACAACAGGTCCTTTATTTAGGCATCAAGTTAGGACTAACTTACCCTCTCCCCCATCGGTCCCTGAGGGGAAAGAGAGGGGTCCTTCTGGAAAAGGAGAGTGCAGAAACAACAGACACTAGCTACCATCCAGAACTGCTTGCCAAAACCAGAAGTGGATACTGAAGGATGAAGGTGTGAGCCTCTGCATAATCCACACACGACAAATGCCTTACCACTGAACGTCCCTGCTCCATTCTCTTCTGTAAACTCCTGTTAGAGCAACACTTTAATTAGTTATCAGATTAATTAAGGAGCTGAATCCTGCGGAGCCCAGACATCTCATGGACAGACCAAAGCCCGGGGTGCCCCTGGGGGAGAGGGATTAAAAACAAAACCAAAAATCCTAAAAGCTGTAATTAGGCGAGTATATAGACATGTTATGATTTTCCCTGTTGTTAGGACATTATTTGCCAGCAGGGAGTGAAATGCTTCATTTAACTGTCTCCGGTCCTCAGGCCTCCTCAAAGCCTCCGGAACCACACTCCAGGCTCTGACACTTACAAACTTGCTTCACTGGCTGCTCATTCTGGCCCTAGAGGAACTTGGGTTCTAAGAACTTGCTGACTGTGCAATGCACTTCTTAATGAGGATTTGAAACTCATTTGAATTTCTGTGTGTGTGTGTGTGTGTGTGTGTGTGTGTGTGTGTGTGTGTGTGTATGTTAAGCATGGAACCCAGCTTTTAAGCATGCTAGGGAAGCCCTTTACCACTGATCTATAAAACATGCTCTGTTGAGGTTTAAGATGCCCTAAAGCTTCAAGAATTGATGGGACTTTTTGGTGGTCCTCCTGGACTGGGAGGTTGCCTTTTCCATCCTCCACACCCGCTGGGAAGTCTCTATCACAAGAGAGACAGTGTTTTCCTGCAGGGCTCTGGCCTGCTGGTGTGTGTGTGTCTTGCTTGTGTGTGCATGTCAGTATGAACTCTCTCACGTGTGCAGCTTCTCTTTGCTGCCACACGGGTGCTAACTCCTCCTGATGTGGCTCCTCCCTCTGGGCTTCGGGGCTGCACAGAGATCACCATATCTATGATTCAATTAGGGAAGCTGAGTGTCCCAGCCACCTGTGCTCTTCTGATCCACAAGGAAACTCATTACCATTATGTCTACAGCAACCAAATTGCTTCAGTAATGAGGCACCAGAGATGCCACAGCTGTGTTCCGCGAGGCTCAGAAATCTTGACAGTTACAGCAGAGAAACGCAGCGTCTGCCGTGGGCAGCCTCCTCTGTCCGGCTTCGTAACACCTTCCCCTGGAAATGAGCCAGTCCTTGGAGACAGATGGTCTTGACTTCTAGAAAAGTCCTAGCCCAGGGCACAAATTGGTGGCTGAGTCCAGGGAGGGTGTGTTTCCTCCAGGTACAGTCACATGGAAAAGGCAAAGCAAGACTGCAGCCACTAATGAGGAGACACTCGGACTGCCCCTGGAGAGGCAGGGAGGTGCCCGGGGCCCGAGACACCCAGTGAGCACGTGGTGCCCACTCTGCAGCCAGAGCATCTGGGGAGAAAGGGGGAATGCGTGGAATGTTTTTTTTTTTTTTTTTAATTACATCCATTATGTGTGTACATGCTCATGTGCACATGTGTGTTGAGGCCAGAGGTTGATGTCGCATGTCTTCCTCAATTGCTCTGTGTGGGTTTTGCTTGTTTTGTTTTTATTTTTTAAGGCTCTCTCGTAGGGCTGGAAGCTTGGCTCAGTGGTTAAGATCCTGTACTTGCTCTCACAGAGGCCCCGAGTTTGGTTCCTAGCACTCACATTGGATGTAAACTCTAGCCACAGGGGATCTGATGCCCCTTTCTGGGCTCTGTGAATACCAGCGCTCATGTGCACATACCCATACGTTGACACACACACACACATACACATAACCAAGTCATCGTCATAATAATAAAAGCCAGGGCCTCTCACTGAATCCGGACGTCTTAGATTTGTCTGGACTGGCTAGCGAGCAAGCCCCAGGCATCCTCTTCTCGCTGCCTCCCCAGCACTGAGATTACAGATAAATGCCACTACTTCTGGCTTGTTACGGGAGTTCTGGGATCTGAACTCAGGTCCTCATGCCTGCAGTGGCAAACAAACACTTTACTCCCGAGTCGTCTCCCCAGCCTTCCAGGGGAGTTCTCTTAAGGATGGATGGATGGTGCTTCATACCTGCAAAACCTCCATTTGGAGGCTGACACAGGGGGCAGTGTCATGAGTTTGAGGCCAGCCTGGGATACACAGTGAATTCCAAGCTGGCCTTCGCTACTGAGTAAGATACTGTCTCTAAAGAAACAACAAGACAAAACAGAATAAAAGAACAAAAAAATAAGCGGGTCTAGAGAGGTAAATGCAAATAGTTCAGACTGGGAAGAGCCACTGGCTGGGCACCCCTGGCGTGTGCCCGGGATGGGTCTGTGGTGGGTTCTGCTTCCTCTGCTAGAGCAGATTACGTGCTTCTCATCCCCTCAGGCCACCGTTAACCTTATTTCTCCTTTCTTTCCTGTGCATCCTCAGAGGGAGCGGCTGAGGAACATCGAACGCATCTGCTTCCTCCTGAGAAAGGTCAGAGGGGTCACCAAGGTGGACGGAGGGAGGGTCATAGAGAAAGGTGTCATCAGGTGAATGGAGCAGGGGGGGCATGGCAGGAGCAGGTCTCGGTATTAGCTGTGTCCAAGGGCTCTGTGGTTGGAGTTGAAGGATTTCTCTTTTCCGTATGATGACGGTTGGCATTTTCAGCTCCTGCTACCTCCCAGTCCTTGTTCCTGTCTGTGCTGGGCTCAGGATTTTAATCACACATCCTGACTTAAGGAAGTTTTTAACGAGATGCTGGGTGTCTTGAGGTTTGAGCCTGTCACTCAGCTTTGCAGTCTGGCCATTTGGCAAGATGGCTGGCTGGATGTACTGGGGGGCTGGGGCAGGGAGGGGCTATTAAAGTGGGGAGCAAAAGCTCCTTCTGGGAGCACAGCATGTGTGTGCCACTCAGGGTGGGCATTTGGCACTGTCTGTTCAGACTCTGCCCTTCTCCAGTGAGTCAGCAGAGCTTAGAGAACAGAGATTCTTGGGTAAAATCTTCAAGGTCCACAGCCTTGAGTCTGGCTATCCTTGACCTCCATACAGAGTGGAGGGTACAGGCCACAGGAAAGCCACCTGTCTGTCCAAATGCCAGCCTTTTGCAAAACCAGGCACCCCACCAACATCGACAAAAGGGAAACAGTTTTACAAAGTTTTAAAGTTCTTTTCTGTACTTCATTGGAGAGAGTCTAATTTTAAAAAAATCCAGTCATTTCTCTAGCTAATATTTGCCCTTTAATGCTGTCTAAGAAACCCTGTATGTTAGAATTGCACATCTTTGTCTCAGCAGGGATGCATACTCAGAGAAGAGCATACATTTGATAATACTAGTGATCCAAGGAATAAAGAGTGATTAAGAAAATAGTATATAATTTGCATCAAAATATGCTAATTACTTTCGAGATACTGTCACAGACAACAGTAACACACTCCCGTCATCAATTCCGTACTCTCTGGTTTGTTCTTTAAGACAACGCGTAAGTGACACAGGCTGGAGCAAGACAAAAATCAAGCTCTTGTCTCACACTGCAAGTTGCTGCCCTCCCATCCTGAGCTTATCACATTGTGTTCTCTGGCAGGTGATCATCCATATTCATGACTCTTAGCCTTCCTTACTCAGCCTTCTATTTTATTGCCTGACCACAGACTGGCCACAGGAGCCAATGGTTGACGGTTGCCCCTATGAAGGTCCTGCTGCCTACAGTCTTATGCCCTAGGCTTTTCCCAAGGTCAGAGGAAGGATGTGAAGTAAGCTATGCAGGAATTTACTTTGACATTTGCAAGTTTGCATGTGCTTTGCCTATGCCAGAGCAACGTTTAACTCGAGAAATATTGTATTCCAAGTGCTTTTCCCCTTACTTCTTCCTTTCCGGATGCTGCCTCCGATGCTAGTTAGACACATTGCTGTTCACTGTGGTGAGCAACACCAGGGAAGATAGTCCAGGATAGACATCAGAGGGCAGGAACACGGAGCTGAAGGCCCCCAGCACAGTAGCTGTATGATACCCCTGGAGCCTCATGGTTCCCTGGCCCCCAGGAGTGGCCAGTACCTTGGGGCTAACCAGTCAGGTGCCTGCTACTTTATGCCTCTCAGATGCCTCCCTGCTGCTCCAGGCTTTTGCCACAAGGCCGGCTTTCAGCTTATGATGCTACTCTCTCTCTGTTCTTTGTCCCTGTGTCTGGCTGCCCTGGGTACCCAAGGCCATTTCCATCGATATCAGCTGAACAAGATTTCTTTCTGAGTGTGATTTCTAGTTGTTGAGACTTCTGCATCTGGCTCTTGGGAATAGCTCACATAGTCTTCATTTGGCTGTCCTCACAGCGGGGCTTAGGTGTGCTATGCAGCTCAGGAAGGTCTGCGATGTTGATCATCAGATATAGTTACAGTGAATGAAAAGCAGCATGTAGCCTATTGATGGTGCTCGCTCTGTGTTTACTAAGTAAATAAATAACAGCTATTTTGGTCCCCCTTGTTAGGAGCACTGCCATAGTCCTCATTTTGGGGGTGTCAGGACAGTACTAAACATCTATGGTATACTACCCTCATCCCTTAAGTATGGCATTTATTTATTTATTTAATCCACTTTTGTGTGTGTGACAGGATCTCATAAATCTTAGGCTGGTCTTGAATTCACAATGTAGATGAGGCTGACCTTGAGCTCCTCATCCTCCTGCCTCCACAGCGATAGTGCTGGGATTATAGGTGCATGCCACCATGCCCAGCTTGCCTGTATTTTAAAATAAATTGCTAACTCCACGTCATCATACTTATTTTGACTCAGAAGACTTTAACTTATAGCTTCTTTGGTCCTACTCATTCCCCCTGTGTTCATGATATCATGGGTTCAAGACCAGCCCTTGCCCTTCTCAGTCAGCATTTAGCCCCACATCCCAATGTCTGCTCTCGACCAACTCTGGGTTTTTTAGGATTAAAGAACCTGTCATTATCTCAGTCACTGTTCTATTACCGTGAAGAGGCATCATGACCAAGGCAATTTAGGAAAGAAAGCATTTAATTGGGGGCTTGCTTACCGTTTTTTT